TATTTTAATGTGTAATTTCTTATAAATACGTGATTACATACTATAAAGAGCAATATATGATTAATCTAATACATTATAAGTATTTTGTAAGATAAAATTTATTAATAGAAGCTTAATAACTTTTGCAATATAAATTATAGGGTAACTTTAAGTCTTTAAATACTTTTAACATAACTTTAACCCGTTATACAATAAAGTAACGTACACCCGTGGTACACAAGACTTTGGGCCTGTTCACTTCAGCTTAATTTTAGTTCAGTTTAGCTCCAATCAGTTCAGTTCTTAATTTCCTTCTCTCATAAAATATTCATTTTAGCTGATCTATTTAGTTCAGTTTAGTTCAGCTTCAATCATTCAGTTCAATTCAACTCAGTTCAGTAAATGTGAACAAATCTTTTGTCTTATTTTTTTATGCATTTAATTATGTAGTTTGGTCTTAGAGCAAGATGACATCTAGTACTCTAGTAGTGCCTACATCCTAATAATCTAGATGACATCATCAATTTCTAATTTTTTGGTCTTAAGATAAGATTTTTTTTAAATGCATTTATGAAGCTTTGTCTTAACAAAATCTGAAGAGAAGTCTTGAAAATAAATTTAAGACTCAGCTCAAGACTCACTTTAACACTCAATTAACCTTTTTTTTTAAAAAAAAAAGTTAATAATTATTAGGGATGAGTGTTAGGGAGTCTTAACATAATTATAAATTAAAAAATAATAATTATTTTAAACTAACAACTGATGTGGCAATGGATTAAAGTCTTAAGACAAGACTGCGTTAATCTTAACTTGCTCATAAGCTCTAATTCTTAAGACTTGTTATGATATCATCATAAAATAAAATCTCACAAATTTTTGTATAGATGTTATTTTGTTTGATAAAAGTTTGAATTGGAGTTTTGATTTCTTAAGATCCGCGTTAAGACTTGAATGGGTGATACTGCTGATTTTGGCTTTGCATAATTGTATTCTTGTATAGATTTTGAGATGTCTAAATAAATTAGTTTATTAGTAAAGTCTTAAAATAAGACTACGCTAAGCTACTCTTGCTTCAACAATATAATCTCTACATAGCTAGCATACCCTCTATGTTCTTCTACAACTGTGTCTTCAAGCAAATTCTCTATACCATTGTACTTTATCTTTGTGATGATCCCATCTGGTTTCGATATTGTGATTTTGAGTATTCCATTATCAATAACAATCTGCAAGTTAAGATCACAATGTAGAATAATTGTGTACATTATCATATAAAATTGCATACAAAACAATACTTCATGGTTAATAAACTTAATATGTTCATTATTGTTTGTAATGCACACTTACATAATGATCTTGGACAGTAAGTTGGACTGCCTTGAATGACATAGCTGAAATAAATTTTGTACCTTAAAAAAAAGCACAGAAGATAGCAATTAAAAGTAAATTAATTACAATACTCAATTTTATTAATCATATATATTGATTGATTGTTGAATATATATAGAACAAGGAAGCTCTTTTGTTCACTGTTTACCTTATTGAATTAGTTAGCATAACATAAAAGTAGAGCGTATATTGTCTCAATATATAGTAGTATAACACATGAAATTAAATTTTCTTGGAATCAAATAAAAGCAAAAGGGTTTGGAATTTTAACCTTTTTTGGTTTATCTCTTTACTTAGGTGCAACCATTTTTTTGGTGATAATGGATAAAATGGAGAGAAGATTGCTATGTTTTGAAGGTAGAGCAACAGTAGTTAGTGATTTATTTACGTATAATTTGTGTGACCACTTTAGATACTACTTGAATGATGGTAATGTATACAATGAAAGTTTATATAATGCTACGTATATGAATTAAGGTATGAGAAATTTGAGTAATTTAAGATCATCAATACAAAAATTTAAGGTGATTGTGTATAATTCACATAAGAAATAACAAAAATCGTGCACCATTACCACATTGTGTTGAGTAACCTAGCGCCTCATGTATATACCTTTATTCGTCTGTCTACAAATGGTTGTCAATTATTACAGTCTCATTTTTCTCATAGTTAAGAGTATAATTCCTTGAGTAATGAAATTTGTCTAAAATTATGACTAATTAGTGCAAATCATTAATCTTTCTAAAGTTCTGATCCATCTAGAACCAATTGCTGAACTAATTAGACGGGCCACTTTACATATTTCTCTAGCATTAGACCAAACTTGGAATTTTAGGGAATATATGACGCCAATGATGATATCTTAAAATGAGGAAGAGAGTTTGGACCACTTACAAATTCAAAATTTATTTTAACTTTAAAATCAAATGGAAACAATAGTACGATATCTATGTTGACCAATATTTTGGCATTGACCCACCATAAAAAAAAAAAAAAAAAAAAAAAAACCCACCCTCCAACCCCGAAAAACCCTAGTCACACATTTTTCGGGGTTGGACTGTGGTTTTGTCCTAATGGAGGTAGTTTTTAGACAGGTTGTGTTGGTTTTAGGATGAAAATGAATGGTTTTGAAGGTGTTTTAGGGTGAGTCAATGTCGGAAAAGTCAGTCAAAGAGTTAAATCTAGCTAAAGATATTCTTTTACTACATTTTACCTTTTATTAGGTAGTTTTTTATAACATTTTTTTTTATTAGGTAGTCTCTAAAAAATTATAGGTTTTATTAGGTAGGATCTCACTAAAAATCCAAAAAATAACTAAAATCATTACGGTATTATTATTTCAAAAAATACATGATGGTTCTTTTACAAATTTCCTAAAATAATGACTAATTAGTGCAAGATATTCACAAGTAATTCCTTCTACTCCATGTAGAACCAATTGCTTAGCTCATATGGGTGACTTTTAACTCTCATTAGACCAAACTTTTATATTATAGAAAATATGTGACGCCGTGACAGTACCTTAGAATGAGGAAGAGAGTTTGGACCACTCACAAAGTCACAAGTTCAAAAGTTTTTAAACTTTAAAATAAAATTGAAACAATAGTACCTACTCAACTAAGCTTATAATAGGATATTAACAAGCTCGACCTTGATCTTATGTTTATTTCCGATCCTTGATCAAATCACTTAGCTTGTACAAGTAACTTGCTTGTTTAAAGTTTAAGCATCCTTATAACCAACATCAAATAATTATCACTCCACATATCCCAGCTTAGCTTCTCTACATTTTCAACTATAATCAATTTTTCAAAATAGTTTAATTTATCTTTCATGTTTATTAAAAGCTTTATATAAATCTCAAATATAAATAGGTGTGTAATACAAATTAATTTTCTCAGAACATGAAAAAACATGCAATTTTCCATAATGTGGCCCTTATAAATCAAATAATTTGTTTGAAAAGCTTTATCAAAAAATTTAGCAAGGTATCTTTTATTGGTCCTAAATGATATAATGAATACAACAAATAAGTGGTATCTTAATTTCTTGTAGTCCCTATGTCATGATTCATGAAGTTACTTCAACGTAAGATTTTCATAGTACCTACTCTATGACCTAACCTAATGGTCATTTGTTCTAATAAGTCATACTACCAATAATCACAAGTCACCTTTGTTCTAATCAAATTCATTACCCAAATTTGTTAGGTTTGTTTAAAAATATGTAGTAGGGGAGATTAAATTAGTTAAGGATTAAATATGTGACTAAGGGTCTGTTCTCATTGACTGAACTGAGTTGAACTGAACTGAATATTTTATAAGAGAAGAAAATTAGGAGCTGAATTGAATTAAACTGAAGTGAACTGAATTTCAACGTAGGAGAACAGATCATAATTCTTTTTCGCCCAAATTTGTAAAAGTAACATTTAATCAAGAGTATTCCTAAAATATAAGAATACTAATCATAAAACATTAGGCCATTAGGGGGTATCGATCATAAAATCTTAGGGGTACCTAGTGAAAAGTCCGTTATTTACTGCTCTGCACTAGTTTGCCAGGAGCAATTACTGATCCAAACTGATTGTCAAATCTGATTTATACAAAATTTTCACTTTTTCATTATCACACTTGTTAATATATATATTTTTTTTAACTTTATCAAAACTGAGTTATATTCCCTCCGTCTCATAATATATGAGACGTCGGACTTTTTTCACTATTCATGCATTATGTTTGACCATAATTTAACTAACAAAATAAAAATATATTTTATCATAAAACATGTTGTTAGATAATTTTTAATACAAGTATAAAGTTTCATAATATATTTTTTAAAAAAAAAAATTCGTTAATATTTAATTATATAAAAATAAAGTCAAACTAGTGCATTGACTTGTGTGCAATAATATTTAATTGTGTCATGCGTTATGGGACAGAGGGAATATATTTAACTGTGTGTCATGTGTTATGGGACAGAGGGAATGAGTAGTGATAGACCACTACCAGGTATGGGCTTGTTGGGCCCATACCAGGGGCAAAAATGTAATTTCACGTAAAACTTACTCATGTTGTAAAAATGTAGTCTCTTTCCTCTCATTAACAGTATATAAATTATGAATAACAGTATAAAAACCAAGAATAACCGTATACAAACCAATAATAACAGTATAGAAATTAATAATAACTTAAGCACCGACAAAAAACTACCAGCGTCAATTTCGACCGAACTCAGCGATTTCCAGCATAGAACTCACCGTTTTTAATGGCTAGAGCCATAAGTTTGTGTCTCTTGTTTTTGGGTTATGTTTTTTTGTGTGGTTTCCGGTGATTTTTAATGAAGGTAGTTGCGTGTTTTTGGATTTCGATCAAGGTAGTAGCCGGTGGGGTGGGCTTCTTGTTGTCGGAGGTGAAGGTGTGGTGGGCGGAGGTTTGGCTGGCAATGGGAGCTATCCATGGAGGTGGGGAAAAGGGTTTAAGGAAGGAAAAAGATGAAGAGGAAATGGGAAAAAAAAAAAGGAAAAAGAAAAAAAAAATATGGTATTGGGTAGTATTACCCATACCATGGTAGTGGGTAATACTTACTCCAGAGGGAATATTAGTTGAAGTGCATAAAAATAGACCCTAATCCTCTTTTAGAAAAGTGTTTGTTACAGATTTTCCTTGTATTATTGTTTGAAATTGTTTTACACTTCAGAAAACTTCATACTAGTATATAAGCAAGAGTTTGCTTTCTATTTAACATGACAAGACTGACATACATCATAACATAGTAGCATTTCATAATGAAGATCTTCGTGGTATAAACAAAATATACATATTCATCTTGTTTATATACATCAGAGAAAATAACCCTTGGAACGTTAACTTTGATCAGAATCAGGAGGCCCTTCGAGGCGAATATAGTCATACATGATTCCTACAAAAGGGCTACCACCATTTGCCTGAGTCAAATAGATTGTATTATCACCTTGTACAAGCTTATTTCCTTGTATATCTGCAATATAAAGCCTATATAGCCCATGAATCCCATGTCTTGCAATCGCGTTATCTTTCCCTATTAGTCCTGTTGTAAATACCGGAGGTTCTGCTTTTGGATCGTTTACTCGAACCTAAACATTGTTTTCCAAATACATGTTGAGAATTGTTGTATGTGGTAGATAGAACAACAAAATTGTATCGATTTGTGTGACTAAAATTACCTGTAATTCTGCCATGTTCGCAGTTGCAAGTGCCAATCTTAGTTTATAGACTCCATGTTGATCAACTTGTTCAAGGTTGAACTTGATTTTCCATGTTGTCCCTTGGTATGTATTTCCTTTCTTCCTGCAAGATTATATTATGAAAAACAATTATTGTTAGTGATTATGTATTTATTATTGTACTCCGTTACTGCATTACACGAGCACATATGTTTTGCATCACGGCTTAATTTAATGTAACCTTTCATCTTATAATTTGGCTTGAATTATGAAAACTTGGCTAACGTGTTCTGTTCAGCTGATTTTCACTTAACTGTACTACGGAGTAATTAAGAACATAGATCGTGACTGATCATATCAAAAGTGTCTACTGATAGAAACTGCTTAAGTTGATTGTTACTGATAGAAACTAATTTCTATTAATCAAGCTTAATTATTTATTTGACTCGTATCGCTTTCAGCCATTGTCAAAAATGACCACTGACAAAAGAAATTACTTAAGGAAGATATAAACAATCAACATTTTGATCAATATTTAAGGAATGACTTTTAACCAAAGTCTGATGCCTTAGTTACTTTACCTGGTAACTTGAGCAAAGAACCAATCCTTTTCATAATCACTTTCACCAATTGTGTAGACCAGATCTTCGTTAGGATATAATTCAGCATATCTTTCCCATAAACCATACTGCCTAAATCTGTTTCAGAAAGTGACCCGAACAAATTAAAAAATATTACTTCTATATATGCTATACATTAGGGAAATTCCCTGTTTCTCATGGTGAGAAACGAAATTTGTTTCTCATAGGAGCATTTTTGTGAATAAATCAACAACTTTTCATTATTGTAGGCACCACAGTTGAATAAAATTGAATAAAGTTGTTAGTTTATTTACGAAAATGTCATGTGAGAAACTGGGGCATACTCTATATTATGCTAAAACTTGTCAGTTCAGAAACGCTGATAATGAGAGCTAACCTGTCAGGGTGATTGATAAAGAGTTTGTTGACATACTTAGGATTCGGATCAGGTATGTAAAACTCCCTAGCTGTTCGATCAGGAACACCGATTTCCCACAATGTAGGTCCATCACTTGGAGGTTCATACACAAGCTCCTCCATGTCAATATCACAACCTGTACATTTTTGCATTCAGTAAATTATGTTTCCAAGTTTTATGTACTAATGTAAGATGCTTAAGCAACTTTTGTACAATTTCGTGTAAACCGGAGTAAGTTTGAAGACCTGGAGTTATGGAAACATTGTCGTCGCATACATAGTCTCCAATGAAGCCAGGGACCGAAGCATACAGATTATAGTCACCAGCCCTTATATCATTTATGAAAAAATAACCATCTTCATCTGTTGTTGTCCAAAACTGGTAACCCTGTTAATATGAAATTTACTTCATTAAAACATTAACCAAATCATACTGACATTAGTTCATGGTTAAGACTAAATTAGAAGCCTCTTTACAAAGGATACTCAAATATGCTAAGCTAATTTTCGCTAAGTAGTCGTAAATCAATCACCTTGCCTTCCAGCTGCCAAGATTTTGATTCATTAGGAGATGCTAAACCTATATATGCTCCATTGGCTGGGATATAATCATCATCAAAATACCTGACAATTCATGTAAACTTTGGTTAGTTAAAGAGGCATTATATTAATTCATTATCATTGGATTGCTGGTATAGATAACAACAATCTATAATTCTATATCCTAGAGGACAGAGGTTACGAGTTGAAATCTTAGACGAGGTATCATAATAAAAATATGACACGACACTAAGTCATGTACATACAATATGTGGCACTAAATCGTTAGCCAAGTAGACTTAATTAATTATACAGAGTAAATAAAATAACTGACCTGTCATGGACTAATAATCTGCCAGAGAGGTTACCCCTTTGATCAGATGTTGGATAGTCTTCTGAAGCTGGAAATGTGTACGGCCAACAATCTGTTTCGATCAAGGCCTGCATATATTCATGTAGCAGTACTATATGCTTGAGATAAATCTAATTCGAAAATTATTTATGACATGATTTTAAAGGTAACATGGTAGTTATTAACCTGTTCCTTAGCATCATCCCACAACCAATGCCAGTCATCTTCTTTAGGCACACAGTTAACATACGTAAAAACCGGACCAAACACCCTTTTCCATGCCTCACCTTGTGCAAATTTTGCTACCATGTCTTCCCCAGCATAATGTGCACTTATAAACATCTGTAATTCAGATTTTCAAATTAAAGGCCTAGCTCTGAAATGAGGTTATATCACTTGTACAGAGATTAAATATTTTCAGGTGCACCTAATAATTTCTTGATCCGTAATTTACTTACAGCAAGGTTGTAAGGGCCAACATGAGAGGTAAGGTTTTGCTTGAATGGTCCTCCGGTTCTGAACTCATCACAAGGTGTTATTTGCCACATTCCAGTAGGGGGATCGGTGCATATCCATCCATGGACTTGGAGATCTCTGTCCTCGCACGAATACTGATATTTGTCATCCACCTAGTTCAGCATATATATATAGGTAAGCATTTTATCATACAAAAAAATATACTACCTCCGATATTTTTTTAGTTGCAACTTTAGGGTATTATTTGTGAATATAAAATATTCCAAAGTTGCAACTAATAAAAATCGGAGGTAGTAATGTAAATCTGTATAATAGTGAGTTGGATTATCAATATATACCTCTCCTTTAAATTCTTCTTCTATAGGATTTGTAAGAAGCACTGCTTCAGGAGGTTCAAGGACTTGGCACCTTCCTGGTAACCTGTCATCTGGAAGTGGCATTTTTCTTTGTCTGTTATCTGCTACTGCCATATACTGAAACCTGTTTATCAGCTTAATTGTCAAAAACAGCTTGTATTATACCCATTACAAAGCACAAACACTTATCCAAATTATTTGTCACATTGTACATCATACCCTTAAGTTAAAAGGTTTATGACTAAATGTTCACGATAATTTCACTTAAATACTTTCGAGGATGCCCCAGTTTCTCATGATGAGAAACAAATTCACGAAAATAAATCCAAATTATTTTGTTTCTTACATGACATTTTCGTAAATAAACCAACAACTTTATTCAATTGTGAAGCCCACAATAATGAAAAAGTTGTTGATTTATTCACGAAAATGCTATTATGAGAAACAAATTTGTTTCTCACCATGAGAAACATGGAATTTCCCAATACTTTCTATGCCTTATAATAGTTGTCTCATTTCCATCCATTTTGTAAGCTAAGTCATTGCCAAGAAAGTAGAAAAAGAAAAGGATTTTACCACTTTTTATTAAGGTTGAAAACAATCCTTGTTTGAGGAAGATTAAATCCAGGCCATTCCTTTAATTTCTCATAAATACCATAAGAGTAGAACCCTGATAAACCCTGAAGCATTATGACCCTAAAAGTTCATATATATATTAGCCATAATATAATGTAGTAGAATTAAATTATCATGTCTAATATGTGACGAAGAAGTATGTACTATGTAGTACCTTCTATCAATGTTCAATGGCACAAATTTGCCTTTAGATGAAGGGTTCCATGTTCTTGTAAAAGACACTTCCACCATTTCATCGTCCTGTACTACAACTTGAAAATCGGTTCCTTTGATTCTGCACAATATTATTACAGCAACAAAGCGTTAGTCCCAAAATGTTTTGGGTTAAATTAACATGAACAGAGACAAAACACAAAAAAATTAAAGACATGAGTTAAACAAACTAAACAAAAATAATAGTGAGAAAGTGATAATGGAGTATAATTAATAATCCAACAAAATCTTGTCATCAACAAAGTTAGCTAGGGAAAACATAAATACCTCAATTTTTAAATGTAGGACTCAATTACTATTCATGTGGTTAAACATATTTCATGATTGTTAAAATAATCATATATATATATACACAATTGAGAATATTAATGATAAAAAATATGTACATTGGAGAACGTGTAAATGTCAAGTTCTCAAACTTTCAAAAACAGAGGGTGAATGATAAGGTAAAAAAAAAAAAACAACAATACCTATCGTAGTAGCCTGTTGTGCCTGGAGTTCCAGGATCACTCCAATTAAGGTCCCAATACCTGCATACAATATCACCATCTTTAGTATCACAATAACATTTTCTTTTCAAGAACAAATTTATCGAGTTTATTTGACGATGTAAAATTTCTAATGTACAAGAAAAACATAATTGTGTGGGATCATTAATACGAACTACTTTAACTTTTGATGATGTTTTTAACCATCAAATTAAAGTTATGTTTAATTTGAGAAGATTACAAAAATTGCATGTGTTATCAACTTAACAATATTATTTCTACTACTAGTATATATGTAGCTGTCAGATCATACCCTCTATGTTCTTCTTCATTTGTGTCTTCAAGCAAATTCTCTATACCATTGAACTTTATCTTGGTGATGATTCCATCTGGTTTCGAAATCGTGATTGCAAGAATTCCATTATCAATAACAACCTGCAACATAAGATCATAATGTAGGATATTATTATTATTACATATTGAGACATTGTTTATTTTAATTTTAATACGCGTAAATTAAATAAATAAAACTCCATATATATAGTTACTATACTATATATGCTCATAGTTTGTAATGCATACTTACATAATGATCTTGGACAGTAAGTTGAACTGCCTGGAAAGACATAGCTAAGAATGTATTTTGTACCTAAAACAAGCAATAAAACACAAATAACTAGCAAAAGTTTATTACAAGATTTAATTTTACTAATAATTACATTGATTATTATATTGTTGAGTATATATAGAATGAAAAATGAAGCACTTTTAATCACTGTTTGTCTTACTTTAAATTAGTTAGCATAACATAAAAAGTAGAGCAAATATTCTTGTCTATATATATAAGATATGAAATTTTCTTGGAATCAAATTAAAGCAAAAGGGTTTGGATTTTTAACCTTTTTGGTTTATCTCTTGACTTAGGCGCAACCATTTATTTTGGTGTTAATGGATAATATGAAGAGAGAGAAGATTGCCATGTTTTAAAGGTTGAGCAACAGTGGTTAGTGATGCATTTACGTATAATTTGTGTGACCACTTTTTATACTATATACTCGTATATATGATTGTAAATTTGTAATGTATATAATAATCAAAGTTTAATGTTACGTATATTAATTAAGGTATCTGAAATTTATGTAATTTTAGATCATTTAAACAAAATTTTTAGAGTGATTATGTGTTTGTTTGACAAACTCAATGTATATAACTCTAGCATTAGACAAACACAATTTATTAAATTAATTAATTAGAAAATGCGTAAGTAGGAGAGTTTATTTGGATCACTTAGTTATAACTTACAATTTCACAAGACTTTTAATTTTATTATCAGATAAAACTGATAGTGTCTCCTCGAACTTATAAGGTTTTAACAGGTCCGAACTTGATCTAGGTGTGGTCTTTGTTTGTCACATGTTATGGGATATGGTGTATCCTTTGCTGGAAGGCTAAGTTATTTCCTATTCTTGATCACATGTACAACTGTACAAGTAGCTTGTTTAAACATGCTCATAAGTCATAACTAACATCAAATAATTGTTGACAAAAGAAGAGATGAATTCTAACTCCATTCATGACTCATGAGTTAGTGTTTTGGACTCATATTCTTCTATATATTTTCATAATAATCAAAAAATTCAAAATAATTTGATTTACTACGTATCTTTTAAATTAGTTAATTGTTTTGAATAAATTTCATATAGAAATAAGGATCTTGCTAAAGAACGTCTCTGGGGCATTGGATAAGGGTTTGTTCTCATACGTTGAAATTCAGTTCAGTTCAGCTCCTAATTTCCTTCTCTTATAAAATATTCAGTTCAGCTCAGTTCAGTTCAGTTCAGCTCCTAATTTCCTTCTCTTATAAAATATTCAATTCAGTCCAGTCAATGAGAACAGGCCCTAAGTATTTAAAATATTACTTAAAATAGTACTAATTTGAGAAAGCATGACAAAATCACGCGTCGATCGATGTAATTAATGTTAATTATAATTTAATCTTTCTACTATTAGCTAGCTTATCCAACGCCCCTGGGTTCGTTAGCTTTAGTACATTTCGTAATACGAAGTATAAATTTCTCCTTTCCCACATTTTTAATGAACAAGACATGGAAAAACATGCAACTTGCAACTTTTCCACAATGTGAGTATGTGACCCTTATAAATCATTTTAGTTAGAATAGAATTATCAAAAAAAAATCAGCAAGGCATCTTTTATTGGTCCTAAATGATATAATGAATACAACAAATAAGTGATGTCTTGTAGTCCCTAGATCATGAAGTTAGTTCATAATATAAGGCTATGAGTATACGCAACGTAAGATTTTCACAAGTCATACTGCCAATAAATTATTACCTCAGCTCAATGGCCTAACCACATTGTCCTTTGTTCTAATAAGTCATACTACCTATAATTACAAGTCACCTTTGAATGTGAGATGAATCTCTATCTTTTAAGTAATACTATTAGTCGTCACCAAAAATTATTAAGGACTATGTACATTCCACCATCTTGAGTTACTATCATGAACTTCCTTTTTTTCTACAATGGTGAACCACCTCACTAGAGGGAGGTGCATCGTTGCTAAATCTAATCAAGAGTCACCTTCTACAATTGTGAAGAAGCTCAATGGATCGAAGGAGAGATCGTTATCGCCTTATCGGGAGGGTGTGAGTTGTCCATTACGGAATTTCCCTAATAATGCTTCTTTAGTTTTTTTATGTATCCCTCGTCCTAAAAAAATATAAATAAATAAATAAATCATTATTCTTGTACAATGTGTTCTACGGGATTACTTTTTACTTCTACAGTCCCCTCAAAATATCTATTCCTAAACAAAGTAGTCTAGACGTCTATATAAACCATTTCAACATTCTCTAATTTTTCAATGTGGGACTTTTAGCAAAACACTTCAAAGATAACAAAACACTTCAAAGATACGCCGTAATACTCCTAAAAGTAATTAAGTATGATGACTATAACAGGGTGCATCAGCAATTGACTAAGAGAATCAAATCACGTTTCACATGAGCTAAAGATGATTCAAAAGGAATTAAATATAACTTCACCAATCAAAGTCATGACCTAACTACTTGACCCACTAAAATATAGCCTAGGTTGAGTGCAGTAACTAAGAGGAAAACGTCATTGATAACAAGAATTTTTTTACAAAAATAAATATTACCTCCGTTACAGGTTATGTGCAACGATTTGACATAAAGCAGAGAGGGAAAATGTCTAATCGTTGCACATAACTTGTAACGGAGGTAGTACAAAAGATACTCTTAAGTTATACCTTTTCCTCCAAAAAAAAATTTTGTTATTAGTTGTTGGTTATCTGCCTTGTTTATAAATAGTTTTGGTAAAATCAAATGTTAGCATATCATTATAACAGTAAATCAAAGCACACAATTAGCTTTAGTGAGAATGAAAACTTAAGAAGAATCGTGATTTAATTAACAAAGGATAACCTCAGCATGCATTACATATTATGCACCAAGAATGCATGTGAGATAGATGCCAAACAATGTAGACGAGATTTTGTCTCTTAAGAAAAAACTGAAGTTTATCATGTGAACCCGTCCCATATATTTACTGCTACCAAACAATTTAACCTCATTGCTCAACTAGACTCAACGCCTCGAATTTTCAGTAAAAGCTGATCTCAGTTGCTACTTTGGGTTATACACAATACAGAGCCTCAAAATACAGAAAGAGCTACTTGTACGTGTGTGACTGCCACTAGTGCCCAGTAGAGTTTTCTGATTTCTTCTGGTAGAAAAAGGACCCTAGAATAAATGCAATTCCTGTGATTGCGATTGTGATTAGCAGATGTCTTTTGGGGAATGCTGGTGCTGGTGTATCTCTTCTGCGAGGCCGTGGTTCTCTCTCAGCAGCAGGCCTGGATTCCCTAGCAGATTACAAGATAAAAGACATCAGTAAGACACTAAGAATACGGGTCAAAATTATACTACTGAAAAAGCAGAAACCCCCAGATGGTCGTTTATAGGAGTCAAACAGTAAGAAACATTTAGGGGGTGTTTGGTTCGCAGAGTGGTATAGGTTTAAAATCAGGAATAGGGTTAAGGTGGTATCGGGTTGGAATCTGATACTTAATACCAAGTGTTTGGTTCGATTCTGGAATGGAATATCATCCCCTTAATTTCATGTATTTGAACCTAATGGAATGGAATAAGTCAAACCCACCTCCCTCCCAAAGTTTCTAAACCCCATACCTCATGGGTTTGAGGTATGGGTTTAAAATTCATATTTTTGACAACCAAACATATGGTATGGGTTTTGGTCATTCTAAACCCATACCTCATACCTATAATCCGCGAACCAAACGCCCCCTTAGAAGTAGATTGGAATCCTGAAGAAATTCTATAGTTCTAGGTTTGAATATATCTACTCCCTCCGTCCCCAAAACTTCGACCCTTATGGCCTAATTTTAGTCCCAAAATGATCGACCCATTTGCATTAAAATACCCACCAATTTACAACAATATTTGTGTAAAATTAGCTTCCCCATATAAATTTTTGTTTTTTCATGTATTTTTAATAATTTCTCTCTCTACTTTATTACAAACCCCATGTAAATATATATTTTCAATATGTTTTTATTCCTTTTTATTTAAGTTTCTTAGTAACCGCGAAATCAACCCAAAAGGGTTGAAGTTTTGGGGACAGAGGGAGTACAAGGTAAGAGACATTGAAACGAATTCAAGTTGGTGAATCTACTTGGACCCCTAGACTGTAGAAAGAAATAACTGCTGACTGCAAGCAACTTTCAAGAAATGCCCATGAGATCATTGGGTTTGGAAACATTTTAAACCTTCTTAAGCATGGCAATATCAAAAGGTTGGTTATGTTGGGAAAGCTCAGAACTACTTCCTTTCTACTCCCTTATGGAGTTAGCTTGGAATCTTTGGATCTGTCTGTGTCAGATATGTGGAAGCAAACCTGGCCTGCAACTCTTCCTCAACTTTTCAATCATTGTGACTTTGTGAGTTGGGAGGTAATTTTGTTTCTGACGCGAGTTTGTAGTTAAAAATTACTTGCAGAAGCACTAATTTACAGGTAATTTGGAATGGATTTCGAGGAAAACTAAACTACATACTTCCAAAAGAAGTTTGTCTTAGGGCTCTCAGCTTGTCTATATGAAGTGTAAAGGTGTTGCAACAGAGCCTATTGAGATCATGTAATTTCCTCACCCCAAGTGATGGTGCGATTGTATGAATGATGCAAAGAACTCTGAAGACTATTATCTATGCTATTTTTCTGAGGAAATTTTCTGATTCTAATAAACAATGGCCTGACTCTTTGTGACCCTTTGTTTATGTTGGATTGTTTCTTTGAGTTATAATGCATTTTGTGTATACAGATCTCTCCGTGTTTTGGAGTTATGACTGTAATGATAACATTGGTTGGGCTGTTCAGAAGGTTTACTTTGAATGTGACAATCTTGGGGCCTTTTTAAGGATCCCATATCAAGTGCCTCCTTTGAAAAATGAAGGGGAGTGAGTTCATAACCCACAACCCCCAAAAAGAATGATACTGAGAAGTAAAAACCTCAAGCATAAAGTAAAAAGCTACCTAAAAAAGCAACCACGCATTGTGAGTGCATGTTGGATTGGAAAAATGAACCAAAACAGACCAGAACCTAAAGAAGGTCATTAAAAGGCCCTCAACACACAAAATAGAGGCATAGACTTCAAAACAGGGGAATTTGAGTAAAAAGCCACTCCATTGAGGACATAATCAGCATGACAGCAGATATGAGAATTACTGAAAAAGTTTAATAAAGCTCCAAAGTCCAAACAGCCAACAAAAAAACTAAAGCTACAATCAATTCTAATATGTCCTCCCTTCTTTTCACTCAAACCTTGCATCTATTCACCCGCATATGTCAATATTAATTCCAAGACTTACTTCTTCCTATTTGCTCAACTTCCATCCTTTTGAAGTTAGACTATTTAGCTACAGACAACAATTACCACAGCAAGAACATGACTCCAAATAGACGAGGTGTATTAAGGATGTCAAGCATACACAAACTTGTCTCTTTTTCATACTTGTAACATTCTAATCTAGTCTTCCAATCAGTCATTGTCTGCCATCCTAACCAATTCAACACCTCCACAACTATTTATGCAGTTTTACATGCCATATGCATGCAAGTGTAATTATGTCAAGCATAGCCCAAACCAAAAAAGCAGACATAGTTTTCCAGATAAAGTTCTAGCTAAAATTTTATGGGACAGGGGGTGTGCTGGTGTGGAATGAAGAGCTGAAATGTACACTTCGTAAACAAAAGATTGAGCTCTTAATCATTGGTCTATGGTCCCATAGAGGTACCCACATAAGATGCTTGCTAAGTGCTTGTAAAAAAAGTTAGCTCTTTACCTAGAAGTACCCACAGGAACTTCAGCAACAACATTGCAGGTTGTTTCATGGACATATCGATCACGTAATCTGATATACCTGGCACAGCGATAGCAATGTTCTGTCCGATTGCCACATACATCCTGAAAATTGAGAAGCAAACACATAATGTTTTGCACCAAATCAATTATTATAATCATAATATTGATTGTAAAAATTAGCATGCCTGATGTTCAGATAGATCAATGGCGGGCAAAGGAAATTCGCAGTATTCACATGTTACTATCCTTTGTGGACAATCTTCACCCTTGTGCACATCCAAAATTTCTCGGTCCATTGTTTCACTGCATAGTGAACAAGCCACCTGCTCCATGGAAAGTAGTCCACTATAAATGAAAAGTAGACATAATAGATCGCACTAGGTGTCTAGGTAAATACAAAAAAAGTAATTGTAAATAAATGAAGAGAGATAAAAACCAAACAGAATTCTTAATTCACAAACTCAAAACATTTCATTACGCTACCAGACATAAACACAACATCTTCAAAGTAGGCGGCATTCACACGGGTCTCTAATTATGCACAAATTTTTTAACAGCTCCTCTTAGCTTTTGGGTCTACAATATGCAGAATCATGTGTCCCTTTGATGATTTTCTTCACTCTGCAGCAAGTGGTTATGGACATTTTCAATCCTACTTGGTTAAATTTCCAAATGCCTACTTCATGAGAAAGGTTAATCATTTTTCTTTACCAACCAACCTCTCAAAGACAAAATTTCACTCTGATTACATTCTTTTACATAAGCACCTTTTCATCAAAGAGCCTCAAAAGCCACTTTATGTTAACCACTTCATTATAAAGGGCTGAATTTTGTGCCTGCCCTCCTACTTTATTCTACTTAACCAATTAGAAGGACCCAATTATTTTCTTGTTCCCATTAAAGAAACCTTATTTAATAATAATTATTAAGATAATTATTACTACACTAGCAAAGATAATATTGATAAAAATCATAGAGATGATGTAAAAAGACATGTTGGACAATATTTGCAAGATTAATCAGGCTTTCTTGCCAAAAGATTCAACTCCCAATCTGATTAGTCTTTTAATACCTCTTATTAATCAAACACCAGACATATCTGCACAATGGAGGGCCAAGAGGAAGGGGAAATAGGTGACTGGAGAATATACAGCACAAAAACATAGTAATCAGTTAAAAGATGCATATTTAGAAGCTCATGGGAAAAATAAGGGCAACTTCATCCATAAAAATTGCATCAAGGAATCAAAGATAGAACACACTAGATAAGGATAACAACTCTTCAAGGGTCATCCAATAATCCAATCTTTTAGAGGTATTTTTGTCATGAGATCCTACTGTATTACAGATCACTGATTACCACTCTACGTGAGCTGTAAGTATTTGAAACATATCAAGCTGACCAAGGTTAGAGAAGGCATGAGTCAAGTACCTTCTATATTATATACTTCCTCCGTTCTTTCAATATTGCTAAGTCTCAATTTTATGGAAGTTCATATATTGTAAAGTTGACTTATTTACACATGATTCATTTCTACCTCTCTCCTCATCAAAGTTTCCTTAGTTCTCTCTAAATGTCCTATCATCACATGGTCTCCGAAAATACCCTACAATCTACATCCCTTACATGCTGCAATAATAGAAGAACGGGGGAAGCGTACATTTAAGGGTGGGACTGGTGAAAATTTGATGGCAGAACCCAACTTTAAACAAATCAAATTATGCTTTATGAACAATCATCTCAAGGTGGGTCATAAATACGATGCTTCCAAGTCAATAACTTATCACAGCTCTCACTAAATTTCTTATCTCCACATTTGGATACAAGAAAAACTATAAATGAAGGAAATGCTTTTTACACAGTAACTGGACCTAAAGGCAATAATAGATGGACAATATTTCAAAATGAGAAAGTAAGATGAAAATGATACTAAATTATTGACAAGTAATCCAATTCTAAGAGGCCGTGAATGATTCTTGTTAATTCACCAAGGGTGAACCTCTGACATGTGAATATTGCAATCTATCTACATTCGAGCATTCAGCTGTTATAAAATTCTTAAAATGGTCATCAAGACACTGGAATGATCACAGATTAACTCTTATGATCGACGAGTATAAAAAGTTATTAATTCAACCAAGACATGGAACTCCTCAAGCACCCAAAAAGACCCTCCATTGTAGCATAGCTGCGCTCGCACCCATAAGACATAATTGACCAGATACAACAAAGAAGAAGATGCTTAAAACTGCATACCCACCTCCAACAACCTAGTAGCTTTCACGTTTAATGCCTTATCTACGAAACACCAATAGATTTGCCAATTAACCATGGTGTAACAGCTTCAATCCACCATTTTATACAGAGCCTTATGACTATTATATAGGCAACTAAATCAAGCGATAATGCTTCACCTTTGAGAGTTACCCACGGACATGAAAATCAAAATAAAACATAATGCTTTTTTAAAGATAATCACCCTCAAAATTTTCCTTAAAATTCCCTATGAAGTGCTCCATTAATGATTGCTATTAGCTCCAAGAGATTACTATAGAAAAATAAAAAAACTCCTTCCATCTCAAACAGCATGTGTTTGTCTAGAATCCTCTGCTTAAGCTTTCTAATATATAAACCATAACTGTACTCCAATGAGCTAGTTGTTCTATTTGTTAACAATGTGCTGTCCTAACTCCTAAGACGGATTTGGAATTTAGATATACTCCTCAATCCTCACTCAATGTCTCAGACCAAGCAGACTAAAAACACAATACAGATAGAAGCGCTTTCTTCAATTTGATAAACTCCAATCTGCAAACATATCAATAAGAACTACTCCTTCGACTTTTTCATCAGATAGATAGGGCTAAGTAGTTAACACTAACTACTCAATTTCATGACCACGAGTGCATAAAATTTCAAACCTCAATGTCTAAAGCAAGTTTCCTAACATTTCATAAAAGGAAAAGTCATGAAGAAATGATATACAGGCCCCAACTGGCACCTTAAAATTTTGAAATAAAACATCACTGAATTGGTTGATTCGGGAGTTCAAATAAGCATCGTGTAATGTGGAACACTTGTTTAAAGAAGCTTTTTATCCAGTAGAGATGCATGCAAAACAACTCAAAACTATGGAACTAATAATGTCCATAGCCTTAACCAATACTAAAGTAGAGCATTCAATATTCAATAAGTAGACGATCACAACAGAATTAGAAGTTTTCAAAAACCACAACTCTACAACACAAAAATTTTGACAATAACTCACTTACAGGAGCATGGGTATTAAAATAATGTTCCTCAGCATGCTTCTTTGGGACCATATCACCACAAACTTTACATTTCTCAAGATTCCGAGCGCAATGAACTGTATGCAAATCGATATTCCCGGAAGGGATAGGCCTATCACTGAAAATATAACATCGAATCTCAGACTCAATTAAACACCCATCTCCACATTACAAAGCAGAACTCAAAAATCAATCCATACAAACAAGCATATTTCTTTAACCACATATTTTAACTCAAAAACTCCTAACATATTACATTTCATCAATTAAACACAAGATCATGCCTTTCCCACGAAAAATCATGCATAACAACAATATTTAAACATTTCCCACTTTCAAAACGCAATAATCTAACAATCCAGCTAAACTTGAAACGATATAACACCCAATTAAAAAAATTAAAAATTCCCAAAAATAACAAGTAAATTTTTATTTTTTTCCAAAGTGATCAAATTCAACACCCAATTAAAAAATAAAAATAAAAAAACCCAAAAATAACAAGTAAATTTTCTTCCCCAAGTGATCAAAGTCACTCAAGATTACCCTAAAACCATCTAAAGAAAAAAGAAATAGAAAATTACCAGTGGGTGCAAATGGTAGTAATTTCTTCAGAAACCGTAGCCATATTTTCTCAATCAAAGATCAAAATAAATAAAATCAAAATTCCTTGATCAATGCAATTACATACCTGCCGACAGAAAAAATCAAAGGGAATGAAGAAAGATGAAAATCAAAAACATAAAATCAAACCCCAGAAAAAAAAGTGATCGAATGTTAACATTAAGGCATGAAAATTGACAATCTAATTAGGTTTGTTGATCAAACATACCTACGAATGAAGTGAAAAAGTTAAGGAGAGAGAAATTTGTGTTGAGTTGTTGTAAAGGGCGAGTCCACCTTAAATTTCCGCCTAACCTTGGTTGTTGTTATTATTTCACGCGCTTAGTGCAATTGTGAGATGCTCACTCTCTCTTGTTATAGTTTTGGGCTAATTAAGTTAAGCCATTACTATAAGGATGTAACCTCACACTATCACATCGGATTGGATCGGGTTTTATGTTAAGTTAGATTGTTAGAGTCGTGTAAAATTAAAATGTCCATGCGAGGTGAAATCTGAATCGAATATTTTTCAAGTCAAGTTAGGTTTTGATACCTTTAAGTCCAATCTTGATTAATCATAATGATGCAAATCTCTTGAGTGTCTTATATCAAAGACTATTTTATTTTAAAAGTTTACTAATTTAGAATATTTCAATAAAGCAATTAAACATTGTGGAAATATCGTGTACATGATCTACCTAAGTGTATAATAAACAACGAACGGGCATTGTCAAGTTGCCTTAAATCTTCCTTATTATTCCTCTTGCCTTATACAGAAAAAACAAACACACCAGTATGGGGCCCCACCCCTTTGGAACATTTCTCAGTCAAGTCAGCCACATATATAGCGCACAGTCTTAATCAATATATGCCTAAATGGCCTCATCGTTTAATATGGAAACTAGTGTGTAGCCCGGGCATTGCACCGGTTGCTACTTTAATTATTAGACCCTGTGATTATCAATTATATACATTTAATTTCATATTCATAACATAGTTTATGATCAGCTTAGATGGTTAAGTAACCATCTTTCTTATAAAATGTTAGGTGTTCAAATCCCTTATCCCAAAGGTCTCTCCTTCAAACTCTTTAAAATTTAATTTTGACAGGTCATTTTAAAACAATTCAGCAGCTGATGTTTTTATAAGAGATAGTGTCGGTATTCTGATTGCCACTCACACCTTCAGCCTTGGCAATACCAACGTCTTCGTCGCAAAGGCTACAACTCTAAAGGTGTTCTTCTCGTATCCAGTACAGGATCCAACATCTACAGATTGAAGGCGATAATCTCCTTGTAGTTAATGCTCTGAAAAGGACGGCCACATCATCACCGATATTCAGGCTCTCCTCTAGCAGTTTCACCATTAGGAAATATATCACGTTTACAGAGAAGCAAATAGAGCAGCAGATTGGATCGCAAATGTAGGACATCTTATTAGTGATAATATGGATGTTACTCTTTTTACTAACGCATGGTTGTACCCCCCATTATCTCCTCAAATGCGCTAGGCATTCCCCTCGTGAGGACGGATGCCTAACACTTTCCCTTTTTTGTCTTACCTTAAAAAACATGTTAAAGGAGGCCAAGGGATGGATAATTTGAGTTATTAAGGGAGACATGGGAAGGGACAAGGGAGAAGATAAGAGGAGAGGTAAATTCTGTAGTCCAAATGTGATCGTTGAGTACACCAAAACTTTAATAAACGTGGACATTCAATGATGTTCTAGTTGTTTTTATAGACGAAGAGCGCTACATGCATAAACCTGTTATATTTTGAAAATATAATTTAAATTAAATATATATAAAATTTAGATAAACAAGAATTAGGATAGATCTTTATCAGTTAGGATAAGAAAAACATAGCTTTTGATACTGATAAGTCTATTTTATATAGTATTTTACCCCCGCCCTTTGGTCATAATTAGTAGTGTTTCCGGCTCTTTAGAGCCACTTTTATTACTAATTGGTGTTTTCTAGTGTTTTCGTAGATTTGGTTGACTTTTGCAGGGATTTACACTTTTGAAGTATTTTCCCGAGATATTTTGGAGCAATCACGAGCATTGGAGAAGCACGGCCAGCCAGGGCCGATTAGAGCCATCGAACCGGTGATTAAGGGCTTGGTATGTGTGATACCGGGGCCTTTGGACCGAGTATTCAAGACCCGAAGAGGAAACCCAGATTGGCCCGAAGAATTGGAGCCCAATCGTAGTCCAAATAGTGGCCCAAGAGAGTCGTCCGGCCAAAAAGGCTGGCGCCCGGAGGCGCGCCTGGCCGGGCGGGAGAAGCAAAGAGGCTGGCGCCCGAAGGCGCGTCCGGTCGGGCGAGGGAAGCAAAGGCTGGCGCCCGATCGGGCGCGTGTTATTGTTAGGAGACGATTAGCGTCGTTTAAGTTTGTTTTAGTTTAGAATTCTTACGGAGTATAAATACTTCTCCGTAAAACGAATTTAGTACTTTTTTTACCTTCTTTTTACTCTTTCTTAATTTTTACGAGACTTTCTCTCTCTAACTCTTTTCTCTCTCCTCCTAAACTATTAGTATTATTTTCTCTCTATATAACTCTTGGTTTAATTTCAGTAATTTATTCTCTTTCTTTGATCATGTCTCCTCTAATTGTCTTGATTAGTTTAGTTTTAATTATGTGTGAGTAGTTTTATTTCTAGGGTTTATGGGGATCCATAAATAATATGAAGGGGTAATTTATGGTTGTTAATTATCAATACTAGATTAATTTCCTATTGATTGATTTAATGCTCTGTGACTAGATTAGGCCTGATCTTTTATGCATGAGTTTGACAATATTGATTCGAGATTCGAGAGATGAGAATTGATGTTTAGGTCTAGTTTCAAATAGGCATGTTAATTTATAAATGGTTAAGTCAAGATCCGATAGATGAGATTTAATACCGGTAGATTAATTATGTGATTGTAATATGTAGCGAAAGCCCTTTACAATCTGGTTAATTGATGCATTGATGATTGACTATTATTGATTCTTGATATTGCATGATAATTTCTTATTAAATTGTTTTAACGTTTTACAATTACGGCTTGTAAAAGTATAGCAATATTGAATAGCAGATGTTAATTTGATATTAAAGACTATTTTCAATAGGAACTTAGATCTAGTAAATTGCGAGAGCCTGATAGATCTATGTTGATTAATAAATTACGAGAGCCTGTTAATCATGTTATTTATGCAATGTCAATGATTGATTACTATGTTTTACCCTGGAGTATTATTTATTGGTGAACCTATGCCCTAGATCCTTTTATATATTGTTTTCTCCCTATTCTCATTCTTTGTAGTTTAGTTTCTTATTCAAATATAAATATTGGTTACTTCATAATCTAGATGATTTTAGTTAATTAGGAATAGAAAGACTTGTTTCCCTGTGGAGATCAACCCTACTTCCCTATCTACTTTAGTTAGAGGACTTAGGAATTATTTTTGATTAGGGGATACGACTTTACGCTGTCAGATACACAAAGTGAAATTTATTAAATCCTTATACCTAATATATACAAGATAAGTATGAGTCACATAACAAATACGAAGTACAATTTACAACAAAATTACAATTATCAAGATTTCCCTACTATATCAACTACTATAAATGAAGTCTAAAACACATATTGGTATTACTCATAGCGAACTACGGAGTACAATTTTTTTTTTTTTTTACTTTTTTTATTCTCCGACCTCAAGTTTGAAAGTTACAAAATTATCTATGTAACCTCATTGCGAACTATAAATATCTACTCTATATAGGGCGTGTTCGGCACTAACTTTTGAGTAGATTTTAGTGGTTTGACTACTACTTAACAAAAAATGTGAGTGTTTGACAAATTAATAATTCATGTAGCTTTTAATAGTGGAGGTATCTTTTATGAGAAGTTAGGATCAAAGCTTTTGAAATTAGAGGGTATCTTTTGAAGTAGCGGTTTAAAATTTAAAATATAATATTTTATCCGACGCACCAGCTTAACAACCGGTAAGAAAAAAAAAAGTCACACTTTCACCCCCATGTCCTCCTTACCCCCAAACCCCTCAAAAAAAAAACCTAAGCCTCTAAACTCTCCCTTCTCACGCAAACACATCAACATTTGCTCCTCATTTTTCCAGCGTTCTTCTTCAACCTTTACACTTCGATCTTTCACCTCTTTCTCTCACTCTATCTCCTCCCCATTTTCTCTCTCCTCCGTCCGCCGTTGCCGCCGCCGCCGCCGCCTCATTTGAACTGCGGTTGAGCCGTCGCAAATACCGGAACTTTGGTAAGCTTTACCCTCTTTCACTAAACAATACCCTTGAATTTGAGTTCTAAAGTTCGCATCTTTTTTTCTGGGTTTTGTTCGAAATTTCTGATTTGTTGATTTTACCCATTAAATTTTATTTGCAGTCGATGATCAACGTATACTTTTTGGAAGATCAGTTGAATCAGAGTTGCCAATTTCTGCCATTAAAAGCCCTTTTCTTTACTCTCTCTTAAATTCCCTGCTTTTTTTCATGTCTTCTTTTATAACCCTTTATTATAGTATTCTAATTACCCATTCTCATACTCATAGTACATTCAGTCCAGTTTTCTCTGTGCATCATGAACAATTCTGAGGTATTTCTATTTTATGCTTTTTGATATTTTTTATTCATTGTCATTTTTAACTATAATTTTATTGTTTGTTGCGTATTTGATTTAGTATTAGTGGAATTCACCGCTCATTACTTTATTGACTCAATTGAAGTTGGAAGGTTTTTGTTTTGTTTTCTTTAAAAAAATAAATTTGTGAATCTGAATTGGTGACAATTGTGATACTCAGGTGGGATTGTATTTGAATTTGTTAGGGTTTTGTTGGTTTAATTTTGTATGTGCTAGAATGGTTTGATCGATATTTTGAGTCGGTTAGTCATCTTTAGTCATTGTTGGGAGTTCTCTTTGGCACTTATCAAAGGTGTGTTTGGAATGATGTGGGTTTAGCCTTGTATAGTGAAAGTCTGAAAGGTGTTCTTCAAGCTTTGAAAAGGATAATGTAGGATGATGGGGTGGAAGATGGTTTCATGGGCGAATGTGGTGGAAAAAAACCAATGGATTCGTGAGGGTATAGCTTCTGGTCAAATGTGAGTGATACTTGTCATTATTTTTTTCATATAGTTTATGGACATGAGCTTTGTTCTATCCTCAGCTTCCCTTCGGTGATGCGTGTGTATGACTATACCCCCTATTGGTATCTTTTTTTACTTACTTCTCCCTCCGGCCCAAAATAATGTTCCTGATTTGACTTTTCATGTCAAACTTTTAAAACTTTGACAAACTTCTCATTAATTTATATAAAATAAAAAATTATAGTCATGTGAGATATTGTTAGATTCGAGTCATTCGACCCAATGTGTAGTTTTATAATACCATATTAAAATGATTTTTTAATATATAAATTAAATATATTAATGTCAAAGGCATGTCTTGAAATCGTGCAAAATAAAAATGAGAACATCATATTGGGATGGAAGGAGTATTTCTTTATTAATCTCTCTCTTAAATTGAGGGGGCCATGGTGTATACTGTTTTTGGTATCTCAAGTAAAAATAATTTATGCTTATTTGAATACAAATGTTGCCTTGCTCTCTTATTGTGTTTTTAATTTCATAAGAATAGCTGTGTTCCCTTTTGAGTATAACTTTAGTTCTGGGCTAGCAGAGTTGGGTTATATTTTTAATCATTCTGCTTATATGGTAATTGCTTGCTCTGCAGATGATATTGTTTGGATCTTTTACTGAAGAAGAGTTAAGGTCAATAAACAATAAACCATCTGAGAATTCTAAAGTACCTCCACGCAAAGAAGAACTCCAGTTTGGTTCATTGTCTTTGGTGACAGGAGCATTCTTGAGCAGTGAAAATGGTGAAACTGGAACTAAGATACCTTCTTCTGTGAAATCATCTGATTCTGTCAAGAAAGTTGATGGTCCCGTGCATTTAAATGATGCTGTTCCAGTATCTAGAGCGGTCTTAAAAGAAAATGGAAGCATACATAGTTCTGAACATTCTCAACCACTAGCTAATGGCCTAAAACAAATCAAAGGTGGAAGTCATGATCTACCTTCTGCATGCCTCTCAAATAATGATGCTACTGTTTCTTCTCAACAATTCTTAAGTTCATCTCAAGGTTGTCAGGACATTAGGTTGAAGGAGAGATATTCTAATGGTGTTCATGATGCACTACAAAAGTCTGTCCCTTTGAAAGATGACCTGAAAAAAGCTGCTAATGGTAGCGTTGCTACTGCTTGTGACTTGCTTCCCAGGGGCTTGATCAATGCTGGGAATTTATGTTTCCTTAATGCGACTTTGCAAGCACTTTTATCCTGCTCCCCTTTTCTGAAGCTCTTGCAGGAACTTCGAACTCGTGATATCCCGAAGGTATTATGTTAACTGCTTCTATGTAAACTGTGAAGTTGGATATTCTTTTTAGAAATCTTACTTTGTGTGTGTGATTTTAGGTTGATTATCCAACACTGATTGCATTCGTGGATTTTGTATCGGAGTTTGACATACCGCATGGCTCAAGTTCAAAGCCAAGAGATCCAAATATTGTTGATACAGGCAGGCCTTTTAGCCCTGCAATGTTTGAAGATGTGGTGAAAAAGTTTACTCCAGACGTGCCAAGTGGTTTCTCTGGCAGGACAAGGTGTGTTTTCTTCTTTGTCAGCCTCTCTTGAATGCTTCATATCTTGCTTCAAATTTGATAACTCATATATATATGAAGTCATGGACACAATAATGGCTGTCCAGTTTATTATATTGCAGTATACTTTCCCGTTTTCCCTGTGCTATTTTGTGACATTCTTAATTTATCTTCCATTTATTTATGATAAGTAAACATGGCTTGCATCTGAAGTGTATCTAACTTTTTGTCACTACCTTTTCTCAATATATCTCATTAATCGTTTTTGTCTCAAAATTCCTAAACTGAATATTATTACCCTTTCACTTTAAAACTTCTTTTCTTATTTTTTTTTTTATTGCTAGTTGCCATAGCTGCATGTTGCTTTTCTTTAGCCTAGAAGGCAACTTCTGTGTTGAAAAAAGAGATACAACAGAAAGAAGCTTTATCTCTTTGGTTTTCCTGTTATTTTTGAGATTCAAGGATTGTAGGCTCTGATAGTGTAGCTATCAGAAATCATTTTTCCTCTTTTTGGGCTTGGCAACGAGTCTTTGTTTACCTTCTGTTTCTTGTTGAAAATAGTTTGTAACCATGATTGTGATATCCATTAGTTGGAAGCACTGTATTAATGAGCTCTTTTCATGCAGGCAAGAAGATGCTCAAGAATTTTTGAGCTTTGTCATGGACCAAATGCATGACGAATTACTTAAGCTAGGTGGGCAAAATTCTGGCATGGCTGCACGGAAGTCTTCGCTGGTATCATCATCAGAAGATGATGAATGGGAAACTGTTGGTCCTAAAAATAAGTCTGCAGTGACAAGAACTCAAAGCTTTGTTCCATCAGAACTAAGTGCAATTTTTGGCGGACAATTGAAGAGTGTTGTGAAGGCAAAGGGTATAAAATGACTTGGTCACATTCATGCATTAAGATTATAGCTTTTCTTCTTTAGTGTTTTGCATGAGGTCGTTGGCTTACAAATTTAATTATTTTTTGTTTATTTATTTTTGTTTCCTTTTTTTTTTTTTTTTTTTTTTTCTTGTTTCATACCCGGATGGGTAGCTTCCATTATAGGCTCCTATTTTATATGCTCATTTGAAAGCAAGTTTAAGAAGAACGAGAAGTTAAGGGAAGCCAAGAATAAGATGTTTGAGTGTAAAAGAAGGTAATGTTTTCATTGTAGTAGCAAATTAGGTTTTAGGAGAGTCAATTGGGAAAGCGTTAGCGGAATGAGGATCTATATCTAGTAATTAAGAAGAAATTGAAATCCTTTATGGTGTTAGGATATTCTAAAAATGATGAAAACCTTGTCAATTACAAAGAAACTAATGTTAAGGAAAAACAAGTTGCTTGACAGACAAAGACAAGGGTCTACATCAAGAGGTTTATAATATAGTGGGCTAAAGGGAAGAAGAAAACATCTCTTTACGATATCTTTGAAAAGACAAATGTTTTATGAAGGATCATCATATGGTGAAGTTTATGATGGGTATAAATCTTAGGATTCTAATCCAAAGGAGATCAATTATAGATGACAAATTGTTTAAGGGAAGTCAAGTGGATGTTTTATTGTGGATCACGAGATTAGTCAATTGGGTTGCTGTTTGCAGAATTCTGAATTTGAGGTGGAGAATTCTGAATAGAATTAATTTATAGAACGCATGTGAGAGTGAGGGATGTTAGAGCTTCCTTCCCAATTCAAGAGATCTTGGGATCGATTCTCATCCAGTCACCCCCGCTCCGCCCTTGTGGCTCTCTAAACACCAACTATTTATTTATTTATTTATTTATTTTATAGAAAGCATGTGGCCAAATGTTGAGAAAGATTGAAAGAGTACCTTGATCCCAATTTATAAGAAGAACAAATATGCGTTGCTCAGCTAATGGTGCAATTATTATAGGGCGTGGAGTCAAGGATAAAGGTTTTGAACATGGATTTCATGATCGCGTTGTCCATCTAGTCCATAGAACATTATGACTAGGTGGACAAGGTGTTCATGATTTTAGTTCTTGCTTGTGATCACGTTTGGGATTTGGGAATCGCTTTCTTGGGAAATGCGGACTGTTTTTGTTGCTCTTAAAACAGTTGTAGTATTACAATGCGGTCATGATGCGTTGTTGAGATTTAGTACCATTGTGTCAAGAGATGTGCTTTGATGGCAATGACAACATGGTATCCTATGTAATATTGACTTAATTGGGTATATTTATGAAGATGTAAGGACAAATGTGAGTAATTTTGGGAGAGTATCAAATGATTTTTCTATCACGATTGGACTACATCACTTTGACCTTTTATATTCACAATCAATGTATAAAAAGGTGCGCCTAAAGCGCTAGGTGATTAGGTTCTTGTTATGTATAGACTATGTTAATTCATCTAGCATTTAAAGAGACGAACCTGAGGTGCATTAGGCACATGTAAGCAAATTTCTCTAGCTGTCTTATTTTGTGTGCCTGTTCCTTGAGCTTTTTTCATACATTGTTCACAATAATGTTAGATGAACTAACATAGTCTATATAGGACAAGACACCATGTTTGCAATGATATTGGAGTTGTGGACAAGACATGAGTTGAGGTTATGCTGGATTAGTGTGATGGAGATAGAAGCTAATATCTCTAGGGTTTAGTCTAAGTAGGAGCCAAACCTACTACATGAAGTGTTGATTGTAGTACTGAAAAGGAGTCCAACGAGGATTTAGTAACATTAGATGGCAATGAGTTGCCCAGAATAAAAGTTCTTTGGGTCAATCAATCTTTAAAAGGAGTGGAAATATTGAAGATGTGGTTAACGGAATTAAGTCTGAGTGGCTTAAATGGAGAGCATGTGTATTGCGTAAAGTTAAAGGGTAAATTCTTCAAGACAGATTAGCAATGATGTATAGGTCAAATTGCTGGTCATTTAGGAAGAATTATGTTTTGAAGCTGTATGTACAGAGATGTGTTTTTTGGGACACCTTAAAGAATAGAATGTATTTGAAATAAATTTGGAATCGCAGATGTTAGTTGGAACTTGGGGGAAAAAAAGTCACTTAGATACGTGAACAATGTGAAAGTCAATATGGAATGTTAGGAAAGCACAGTGAGTAGTTTTTAATTAGAACTTAAGGATTGGAATTTTTGAATTTTATGTCTGATACCTATTCTTGGAAAGTCGAAGTGGTCTTCTACTTGGAAGAATTTTTTCATGATGCTGGGGTTGGACAATTGTGGAGTTTTTTCCTCTGTTGATTGCTTAAAGGAGTAGAAGGTTGAGCCTTAATGGACAGGGTTATTTTGGTTAAGCAGCTACTTCAAAGATTGTTTGAAGATGAATTTTAGTTGCCATTTTTTTTTTTTTTTACTCTAGGTCCTTAAGTAGTTTCTTGTGTTTGGGGTCTGCTGGGTTAATCTGATATTAAGTCATTTGGAGAAGTAAAATGAACAAAGACTAGATTACCATCACCATTTTGTAGTTGCTGGATCCCTTTGCAATTTTTAGTGCATGGGAATTTCCTCACTTTGACACTGATTTGATTTTTCCTTGTCCATACAATTTAGCCACCAGTGCTGTTTTGATGGAATAGTTTTCTTTTTAATTGATTTTTTTAACAGTTTTTGTATAGCTGTAGCCAATTGATTTTGAGTGTGCTGCATTTGCTGCTGTAAAGATTTTCACGATTTTGTAGCTGTATAATTTCTGTAGACCCTGTATCTGCAAAGTTTTTTCTTACAATTGTTTATGTTAACTGTTAAGGTTCTGTATATTGTATCTTGTTTTTGCATTTATGGATCAACTCTGAGACGCATGGAAGCGTTCAGCAGCTTAAGTCGTGGACCTTTTTTTTAAAAAAATTGATTATGGATTTCTATGTTTCTGCTAAGCAGGAAACAAAGCCTCTGCTACAATTCAGCCATATCTCTTGCTTCATCTTGATATTTTTCCTGAGGCTGTCCACACGATTGAGGATGCACTTCGCCAATTTTGTGCACAAGAAGCACTTGAAGGTTACCGAGCTTCAAACACTGGGAAGGTACATAAACTGTCTTCTTATACCAAGTTAATGATCTTAATTTGGGTTGTCCAGATGATGTTTTCGACGGTCATTCTGTTCTGTTAATTTTTGTATGGATCTTCATCCCTTGTGTTATCATTTTACTGAAATGTGGTATTCTGTTTCTCTTTTACTTCGTATATCCTTACATGTTTGAAGGCCATTGACGCAATGCCACTTTAATCAAATATCTTGACAATTTGTGCGATTCACCTGCTATAGCCCTATAAGCCACCCTCCAGTGTTTTAGTAATGATAATTCTATTATTATTGATGTCGGATTGTCTGTATCTTTAACAAGTCTTCCATAAAGAAGTATAGAGTGCAATCGACCATATTGTAGGAACTTGTTTACTTAGCTCCCTTTTATTATAGTAAATGATTATAGTTCATACAATTTCATTTCTGCGGAAAGCTCTTATTATTGCCAGTGAATGGCAGATTTGGGCAAATTTTGCAATTTAATATTGGAGTTATTATGCCCTCGAATTGTTTGTAGATGTATGACTACCATCATAATTCCCTAGGGGCCTAGGGGACTCTTAGAGATCAAAGATTTTGTTTTGTTGTGAAATTGGGAATGATCATATCTTTACCCTACAACCTAATGGACCTGGCAATATGAAAAAGAACATGACAGTCCTGGCAAGTCTAGCATGGAACCTAGATCTAAGGTTCATGGAGTATACCTTAGATTTGAAATTCAAAGATGTAATTCACCGAATTACGATCTAAAACTGTGAGGCTTTCGTTATTCATGTCAGGTTGAAGCAGCAGACGCTTTATTTTGAGCACTAGTGGCTCCAGTGACCTTTCTGCTGATTGCTCTGAGTGTTTTTGGGTGGCTGCCCCATTTCTTTTCTTCTCTTGTAAATTATTATGGGTTCAAGAATGCCCCCCCCCCTCTTTCGTTCTGATTGTCTCTTGTCACCAAATGAACTTTGGGTGGGATGAAGTCGTATGGTACTCGTGACTTTTTAAAATGTTATGGCTCCTTTTTGCATTTCTCTGTGCAGCCCTTTTATTTTATTTATGATGAGTTACTGATACTAATTCCCTGATTATACTGAGCTTGAGCATGCTGTTTGCAAAGATTTGGCTTGTTGAGGAACGTAACTTGGTAGAAATATGATTGCATGTTTAAGATTGTTTTTGTATTTTCATCTTTATTGCAAAATACTGGTTAAACACTTACGTGTACAATGAATTGTTTAGGCTGGATTGGTGACAGCTAGCAAATCTGTCAAAATACAAACCCTGTCTAAGATTATGATATTGCACCTGATGCGCTTCAGCTATGGGAGTCAAGGGAGTACGAAGTTGCACAAGCCCGTTCATTTTCCCCTTGAGTTTGTGTTAATCTCACAACTCCTTGTGTCACCTACAACTGAGGTAAGCTCAATTTATCCTTTAATTCGAATTCCCTAATCACTCACCTATCTAGCCTACATGATCCCCTCCCCTATTTACTTCTCCTAATGTGGCTAAAAAATGATCACCTTTGGTGAGACCTACCTGAACACTAATTAACGCGTAATTTGATTTTCCAATGGTTTATAGTCTAAACAATTGATTGATTGTAACAATGTTTTCAGTACTTGGACTTAATTACAACTATATTGTTGCCAGTATTTTTAATGAAGCTATTGACTAAACTGACATTAGACTGATTCATAAACATTGACTGTATATACAAGGGTTGCCGGCACAGTTGTGTGTGAAACTCTTTGCTTTAGACTTCAATATTGAACCTACAATTCAAGTTCTATAAGAAGATTTTATGAGATTCCATTGTTAAAAATCCATTTTTTTTTAATAACAAGTGCTGGATGAAAGCATGCAGTTTTTGTTGAATGTCTACAAGTATATACATCATATACTTGTAGATTTCCAACAGTACATGTATTCCTATAAGTTGATAGAATTATAGAAATGCTAAAATTCCCTCGTGTTAAAATAATGCTATTCGTGGAATTCAAATTCTCCTTGTGTATCTTTTCCCTCGAGATTTTAGAGCTTGCTGAAAAATAAGCCTCGTTCTTTCTTTAGTTAGCACACTTTCTTATCTCTTCAAAATGGAGTTTGTGAATCATTATTTTGGTGATATTGTATTATCATTATTGGAGTTAGCCAGCTTGAAGCTGAATTTATTTTGTGGCATTTCATTGTGCAGGGTAGGAAATATAAACTTGTGGCTACAATTACTCACCATGGAAGAGACCCGTCGAAGGGGCATTATACAGCCGATGCTTGTTATCCTGATGGGCAATGGATACGATTTGACGATGCATCTGTCACTCCAGTACCAACTAGCAAGGTTTTACATGACCAGGCCTATGTACTTTTCTACAAGCAAGTATAGATCACAAGTTCATATAAATTAACCCTTGGCGAAGTCTGAAATTACTTGATCTCGGCTTGGACCATCTGGTGTGGAATGTGAAGCTGTTTTGCCTACGCTGTTGAGGTTAGATTAGTTACTTTCTTCCGTGCATCTGTTTTGTCCTCACCTCCATGCAACACAGAGGGGGTACTAATTTACATGAAATAATTTTTTTTATCTCAATATCAATAGTGATAGCTTTGTCAGAAAAGTGGGTGATGACGAAATTAAGAGAGAGAGAAAGAAGAGAGAGAATGGAGGGGAGGGGAGAGGAGCGGGGAAGGGGATGGTTGGTTTGCAACAATTGATCTAGCATGCTAATAGAGAAATAGGGTTTCGTATTTCTGTATCTTGTGAAGAATGCTACTTGTAATTCTGTGGCAATTTATGATGAGAAGTTCTGAAAGGCTTGAAATAGGTTTGCTTTTTTTTTTTTTTTTTTTTTTTTAAATTCAGAGAATTTTTATTTTGGCAAGGATTAGTCAGCTGTAGGCCTAAATACTATTCAATAAAAATAGTTTTTGTTAGCCAAAAATCTAGTAGACTGAAAATCGGTAGGAATTCCTTATTTTTATTGGTTCGAATAAGCCACAAGAGCATCTCTTTAAAATGGTCAGGGGACGTACTTAGTCACTCAGTGATTGCAATTAGGCCAATACCTCATTGGTACAGTATTATGGAACTGCTATCACCGTAATCCACAACAACAATGAAATCTTGTATGATAAATTTGTTTTCTATATTTCATTGCTACTTGATACCTACTAGCGAGTAGAAATAACAGAGAAAGCATTGAACATCAGTGCAAACCTCCATCCTATTCTAGTAATGTTAATTATTAACACTTCCCAAAAGTCATTAGTGTATAAAACTTCGTATTAGTATCTCAATCCACAAACATGATCTGTCACTAAAAAATTCCCTTTGCCGAAAGCTGGCTTGTCCAATTGTCACGAGTCATCTCTCACACCAACCATGGGCGTTATTTGGGTAACTGGGCAGCAAGGCATACTCGTGGCTACTAGGCTTGCTCTTGGTGCCCAGCACTCCAACAACACACTTTTTCCTATAGAGCTTTATTTTGTATGTCTTAAAAAACTAATGAACACCCACTTGATAGTAATACAATAATAGGCCATTTGGGTCCCAAAAAAGTCCAAATGAGCCCAAGTTAGAGATCTATCATATTTTGGGCCAAGGAATGCCACGGTGGTGTTGGTTTTCCAATATGAGGTCCCAAAGTACAAGTTTTGGAAATTTGTAGATCGGAAAATGCATAAAGCTTCTAGAAGGTTGCGGGCTATTCTAAGAGGTTCTTTAGAAGACTATTCTAGAGGGTATGTCTCTAGAATGGTCAAGGAGAGAAGTCTTCTAGGTTCTTCTGTGTATGTAAATGAGGGTCTGTTTACTTTAGCTTAATTTCATTTCAGTTCAGTTTAGCTCCAATCAATTTAGTTCAGCTTCTAATTTCCTTCTCTCATAAAATATTCATTTCAGCTCTATTCAGTTCAGCTTAGCTCCAATTAGTTCAACTCAGTTCAGGAAATGTGAACAGACCCTAAGTATGTACTTCCTCCGTTTTTAAATACTTGCTCCATTTCTATTTTTTGTGATTTATACATAAGAAAAAATATAGTCTTATGGGTACTTTTTGGAATCATCTCAATGAATAGATTATTAATTTTCAATTGTTAGAATTTGTACTTATTGATAATTAAAGATATAAGTGATCAAAGATTAGCATCGGCATGCGTGTCCAAAAGAAATGGAGCAAGTATTTAAAAACGGAGGGAGTAATGTTTTAGGGTTCTCTTTTGCATTTTCGGCATTGATGTATGTAGAAAACTTCATGTATCTAGGTTTCTTTGGAGGTTGGTACACTCTAGAAGGATATAGTCTAGAACCCTACCTCCATTTTTTAGGAGGTTAGAAAGTTTCTAGAATTTTTTTTTAAAGTAGGATGGAACACTATTAATAGGCTCCAAGCTTATTTGTACAAACTTAGTTAAGAGTTCAATTCAAGAAGCTAGCATGCTTAAGCACTCGTGTTACAACTTAATCTCTTCATGCAAACACTTAGAGTCTGTGAGGAAAACTAAGGCACGAGGGTGTTAGGAGAGTGTTGGGCATACTAGCAAGGGGTGATAACATGTGTGCTCAATTGTCGACACTAAGTTGTAAATTCGGACTAACGTATTAAGGGTGAGTGCTTAGTTCAACCTAGGGACTTTGCTTAGGCACGACGTATTATAAGCAAGTGACACATAATGCATGACTAGGTTAAAATAGTCAGCACGTATGAGCATAACATCATTTGTAACATTAAATCCTCACAGTCGCAATTATAATTTGGCAACATTAACTAAACTTTAACTATATCATGCTCACTAAAGGTTGTACGAACTTTGTCTATCCCTAAGTTATTGGGATATGTTATACTAACCTTTCTTAGAGATTATATTGTATTCATTGGTTATCTCTTCATAAGATTGTACCAATATTACCAACTTTTGTTAGTGAACACTCATTTCCTACGGGTCATGTCGAAATTTCATTGAATATTTCATAGTATGAACTTGTATAGGTATAACTTTAAAGTGATATTCCAACTTGAATATGGTTATGTTTGGATCACGTATAACCATTCTTATGGAACCAGGGATTTCAAGACCTTATTATTCCGCATAAAATAGAGGAGAATTTGAGCCTTTATCTATCTTCTCAATAGAGTGATTTCGCTAGCAAAAACTTATCTACTCCAAGTCTGTTGTTGACCGTGAGTTTGCTAGCAAAAACTTATCTACTCCTCAATCTGTTACAAGTAGAATGAACTTATTAAAGGCGAAATCGATATTTATGAATGTATAATATCACTAGATGAAGCCCGTGCGATGCACGGTTTGATTGATTTTTTTTAAATAATGTTTTATTTATTTATTTATGAGCCTAAAATTTGTTATATATTTAGATAAAATTCCTAATATTAAAAGATAATATATAATATTTAATTAATTTAAACTTAAAAATCTCATTCGCAAATTTTGCTTGGCATTTGAATTATTTAATTCTAAAAAGAAATTAATAATCTCTTATTTAATTGGCTACTATTAAGATTTATAATCCTACATGGCGCGCTGAGAAAATTAGATCCTACGTAGATAAAATTTCTAATATTAAAAGATAATATATAATATTTAATTAATTTAAACTTAAAAATCTCATTCGCAAATTTTGCTTACATGGCATTTGAATTATTTAATTTTAAAAAGAAATTAATAATCTCTTATTTAATTGGCTACTATTAAGATTTATAGTCCTACATGGCACGCTGAGAAAATTAGATCCTACGTGGCTCTCTAAAAACTCGAGAAAAAACTCCCCTTTATATTTATATATATATATATATATATATATATATATATATATATATATATATATATATATATATATATATATATATTAGATTAGCAACATTTTATTTGTATAATGGATAGATATTCAATTCAATCTAAGATTTTTAATACCATGTCTTGTGATTCTATACTAGTTACATAGGATTAATTCCTTACAAAAAAAGGAAAAGTAGAATGTCTAAACATTACTTACACATTAAATTGGATATACATTAGCAACTGAAAGTGTATAAAATTTAAAAAGCTCAATTAAAAAAAAAAAAATTGTTTCATGTATGCTCATATTCCCAAAAAGGATAAAGTTGATTTGCCAATCCTCATCCAAACATTATAATGTCATATACCACAAAACCAAAGATTATATAGTACTATTAACCTAGTAAACAAAATAATATTCCATTAGAAAATAATTAAAGAATGGGTAATTCCATATTGTTAACATAATTAAATAATGTAATTTTTCTTGGAAAACGACTCTTTATATCATTAGCTTGATCATTGACACTTGTCCTTGCTTTTTCATACAAAGTACATATTTTACCCAAATTATTAAGACTAATATGACCTTAATTAATTAATTTATTCTCCTTAAGCTACGGTCATGTTTGTCTAACAAGTAAACCTACCAAAAATAATATTAAACAAATACATTATTCGTACAATTTTAAATGGAATCTATTGGTTAATGAAAAAAGCTCACATGGCCTTAACCAATAGGGAACTTCCTTGCCAAACAGCTCCTAAACACTAGAAATTGTGTTTAATTTTTTAATTTTAGATTAGTAAGTGCTTTTTTGGGGTTTGTGCCTTGATCCATCTTTTATGTATGAACTAAACTTTGGAATTAGGAATCTCGGACTATTTGATAGGAGTATTTTTGCAAATGGAGTACTAAGTTTAGTTTATTGTAGTTAATAAACTAATAATAATTTCATAACATAGAAGGTTCTTAGATACATTCTAAGTTTTCAAGAGTTCTTGGAAGTCATATTGTTACTAACAAAGAAGTATGGTATGACTTTGACATATTGTTATGCATAAACGTATTAATTAATTCATGATCAATAGTGAGCTTGATCGATCAATAAGTAGTGAAGTACATATATTAGGGTTTAACAAATTAAGATAGAGACTCCAGTCGACTTGTATCTCAAGTTTAGGCGAATCATGTTATATTATTATTGATATGATTTAATTAGCTGCTAATATTTCTCTAGTATTATTAAACTTGTTAATTGGGAATCACATAATAGTTACTAATTGATTGGGAACAACATTTTAGTGATTTGTTTACTTTTGTATATAGGTAATTAAGAACACAACGTAGTTATATATATGAATGTAGGCATCTGAGTCTTCAATGAGTTTTAAGATTTCAAATGTGTATTGAGATTGAGACACCTGTAAGACTATAATGTATTTAAACTTAAAAGTATCCACCTGTCAGAATGATTGGTTACACATTATAATATAGTCAGAATACCAGCTGTCAGTAAGTAACATAAAAAGGTATAAAAGTTTTATTAATTTTATTTTATATTACTCTTCCGTCATCGTATATCCCTTATTAAATATGCCAATAATCGCGCACAATGTTGCTGTAGGAAAATCAGGCAAAAACCTAGTCAAAAAGGATTGAAAGAGAAAGCATCTTGTTTTCCATTTATTTGATACCGAAGCAACTTGCTTTCATAAATAATTAATTAACCTTATCATGAAGTATTATAATAGATTTACTTACTTTATCAATGATCTTGCTTTAGCATTCGCTATTGTCGTAAATGTTATCACAATGACAATATAATAAAGTAAGTTATAATTCATTATTTGTTCCTAACAATGCATTATCCACGAAAAAGTGTTTAGTAATATGGAGTATGGTACTAATATTATTGGACATTGAAAGATTTACTAAAATTTGGAAGGTAATACAAGTAAATTAATGTAATGGGAATGGAAGTTAGGCCATAAGAACAAGGGATGGGTTGGCAATTGTGCTGACTGCTGAACACTTATTTGTCTCTCGCACGTGACTGAATGACCATCTATGGGATGAAGAGTCAGTCGTGTTTTCTCTTTCTCAAGGTCATATCCTATATCGGCTTGAGCTAGCG